TAATTTTTCTAAATTCTTTTTAATTTTTATACTTTAATATTGATGACAATACTTCTCACATGCCGCCCCAACATTCACCAACCAACTGAATTAATTTTTTTCAAATTAGCAAAATAAATTCCTGCACAACAAATATAATAATTCAGCCTTCTTCCTGTTTGGATTGCGCGCTTGCCCACACCACAATGCGGCCAACTGTAAGCCATACACCACTACGCTGCCACAGTTGGCGGCATTGACGTAACAAATAATAAAAAATAATTACTTTTAAGTTATGGCGGTGTTTTACAACTAAATTGGCAAACGTTTGCGCCCAACAATAACTATCGTGTCRACAACAACAACAATGATAACAACAACACTACAACAAACAAAGTACAAATAAAGCCGACTTCGATGAAATATTGCATTGTGAGAATTTATTAAAATTAAAAAGTGCGGCAGCTTGAAACCGCTCACCGCCAACAAACGAACCCACAAGCGTTGCATGCGGAAAAAAGCAAAAGCTACGCGCAAAAAGTCGCCACGCATAATTTTATAAATTATTTATGAAATCCGCACAATCCACGCAATTCACCAACTAAATCGGCAAAATGATTGCAAGACTGATCAGTTGTTAACGCTGCGCGGTTTTAGGCTTTGGGCTTAAAGGCTGGGAATGGCTTAAGTGCGCGACTTAMGTGACATATACGAAATCCGCTAAAGTTTTTTGTTGTTGTTATTATTGGTATTTTTTTGTTTTTGCACGAACAACAAGCTGAATGTGGCGCGGTTGTTGTTGTTTTTTCTTTAATTTAACAAATGCAATCAGGCCGTGGAAGCTGTTTGACCGTGCAACAGTCAGAGGTTGCAAGCAGCAACATCGGCAGCGACTTTTGTTATGATTATTGGTAATAAATACTGGAAGAAATAATAAGGTACGCCATAAGTATGGCGAAATGGACATTGCTTATTATTATATGTTTAACAACAACAACAACAAAGAAAAGAAAACTTGCAGCAACAACGAAAAATATTTGTAACCAGCGCTGATGCGATTGTTGTTGCGTGGAAAAAGAAAAGAATAATAACAACAACAAATGGCAGATTATGCTTGAACTCAGGATAAAAGCGAAAATGCCGCCAATTGTGACTATATGCTGGGGACACTCACCAAAGGCCAGCGGCGCGCAGACAGGTTGCCAGAACAACAGTAAGTGACTAACTGCCACCGCGCATATACTACGCAAAACGGAAAAAACGCTGTGTGTAAGCCTTGGAGAGACAGAGATATTTGCCACACACACACACACATGTTGCACGATTTTTTACAAGCATATATGCGTTTTAGTTGCGGTTACCCCAAAGGGCTGTAGGCTGTACGTGCGCAAAAAAGCACTCATATCTGCAAAGGACACTGATATCTGCTGAGTAAAAAACCGAAAAGTACAACAACAAAGCAAGCYAACATCGGTAGATGAACTGTCGGGCTGCGGCTGGCTGACTGAGTGAAGCACTACTGCCTACGACTGGTGCATAACTGTTATTTGTCGGTCACAGATTTCTTCTGCTGGCAACCGCAGGTTTTTTCGCAAATTTTTTGTTATATAAGAGTGTATAAAAACTTAAATTAAAAAAAAAATCATTGTATAAAGCAAACAATTGAGAAAATGTGTAAAATGAACATCTTGGCAATTGCAACTTTGAAAAATCTTCAAATTCAAGTCATTGACATTGTGCTCTATTTTTAATTTATCTGCTTTAAAAAAGTTCTGCTTATTTTTTAACTTAAGTTCGGTTTGGCAGCCAGAAATCGAGGTTAATGCACTAAAACCATTTTGATGCGGTCAGTGCTGCGGCTTTGGCTGCTGGCTCATGTGTAGCAGAAATGTATATATTTTGTTTTCTGGTTTTTTTTCCACAAGAGTTGCTTTCTCGAATGTCTCTTTTATATTTCGAAATTACCAAAGAATGAAACACGAATCGTTTGTGTGGATTTTGGAGCTTCAGAATTACAAATGTCTTGACAGCGAAACAATTCTTTTAATATTTATGAAAAAAATTTATTT